CACAATGTTACACCATAACACTATCACTCACAATGTTACACCATAACACTATCACTCACAATGTTACACCATAACACTACCCACAGTAACATAACATCATCATCACAATGTTACACCATAACGCTATCACCCACAATGTTACACCATAACACTATCACTCACAATGTTACACCATAACACTATCACCCACAATGTTACACCATAACACTATCACTCACAATGTTACATCATAACACTGTCTATCGCCCACAATGTTACATCATAACACTGTCTATCACTCACAATGTTACACCATAACACTATCACTCACAATGTTACACCATAACACTATCACTCACAATGTTACACCATAACACTATCACCCACAATGCCACAGTTCGTCCTTAGGTTCAGAACTCAGATACTCTCATTACACACACTAGTTTAGATCGAAATACAACAATAAATTTACACTAAGCATGAATTCGTAGCTATATAATATAATTTTAAAGGGTCGGGAGGCTATTACATTGATGATTTTTGCCAGTCTGAATGTTTTCCCTTGATATATAATTAGTTCAAATTCCCCTTCACCGCCGATTGTGACCAGATCTTCCTGGAGTTCATTAAGAACATAAGAAAGAAGGAACACTGCAGCAGGCCTACTGGCCCATGCGAGGCAGGTCTAATTCTCCCACTGGCTTAAGCCAATGCATTATCTTTGTAACTTGTTCAACTTTCAAAACTTTGGGGCCCAGTCCCTAGACCCATTATGTATCTCTGTAATCTTTTGACTACCACCCACAGGATGGGTATGGTGTGACTACCACCCACAGGATGGGTATGGTGTGACTACCACCCACAGGATGGGTATGGTGTGACTACCACCCACAGGATGGGTATGGTGTGACTACCACCCACAGGATGGGTATGGGGCGCATAATAAACATATTAAACTAAAAACTAACGCCCCCCGTCTTTTTTTTTCCTCTCGTATCTTCAGAAAATGTTATCTTTAAAAAATTATGTCTTTAAAAAGTGCTTTATATCTGGCACCCAGATATAAAGCACTTTAAGCGTCATAAACGCGGTTTTTCAACAACTTATCCGCTGTTCCATTGGCCGTAATTACTCCCCACAAACCAAAATGAATTAACGATACAATCTTCCAGTCTTAAAGAAACCTAAAATCGCCTAACTAAATTTAAATAAAGTTGGAAGAGAAATCAAAGAACGGATGGAAATCGAGCCCATGACAAGAGTCAAAATGACTCACGAAATCGTAATGACACGATTGCAAACAAACCATTCCATGGGCGGGGTTTGAAGCCGCGATCAGAGAGTCTCAAAACTCCAGACCGTGGCGTGAGCCACTGGGTCAGCTAGCTTCAATAAGATTCATCCAACTAGGTATATTTCTACACCATAGGAAGGTTAGCATAGGCACCACTGTGTCCACAAATGCAAGTTTTTACAGACGAATCTCCCGTCAGCGTGGCCGTGACGAACTCTAGCTCAAGTTCCTCAAAGCCGTCAACATGAGGGTCAAGGCTAATGGGCCAGTGCGTTAACCACTGGATCATACTGACCTGTTAAGATTCATCCAACTAGGTATATTTCTATACATCATAGGAAGGTTAGCATGGACCACGACTGTAACCACAAATGCAGGTTTTATTTACAGACGAATCTCACACCAGCATTGCTGTGGCATGCTCTAGCTCAAGGCCTCTGTGTAATAAACAACGGTTACACTATGTTATAAAAGATAATATGTCTGCAGGTGCAACAAGTTTGATCAAATTCCTATTTATGAGTAATTATATATTATATTATTATTATTATTATTATTATTATTATTATTATTATTATTATTAAAACTAAAGGGTAAACCACTAGGGTCATACAGCGATGCATATTTATAGGTTATCTATACACTTAGGAATCTGAAGACGGATATCAGTGTGGACTAGTATTGCTCCGAGTGGACTACTGAGCATCATGGAGGCTGTGGCGGGTCATCTCGCACACCTGCCTCAAACACACTGCTCTACACTCCATAAAAACAAAGTTTGGAATGTATGAGCTTTATCTCTGCTCCTGGGATACACGGTCGTTGTTGTACTGTGGATAGGAAAGGTGTGAAATGTGTATATTGAATTATGACTCGTGTGTGTGTGTGTGTATATATATATACAATATATATATATATATATATATACATTATATATATATATATATATAATATATATAAATATATATATATATATATATTTCATAGTTCTTGATAATGTGAGAAGTCACGAAAGCGCTTGCAATTTCACTATTCTTTCACAGTGGATGTTTTGCATATTTTGATATCACCTTTTTACTGTGATTTTAATTCATATATATCAAAAAGAAGAGCTAAACCACAAGGGTTATACAGCGCATTATGATTCGATGATGACAGTTACAACTATTGCATGACTAATGGTTAACTGCACTGCAAAATAAATGTAACTTAATGAAGCTCTACACAGAGCGAAACATCACCTGATAAAGCTCTACACAGAGCCAGACGTTGTCTCAGCCAAAACCTTTTTCTGCAAATGCGTTTTTTAATTATTTACCATTATGGTCGATAGTAAGCCATTTGAATCCAACTTCGAGAACACTGAGAAATCAGGAAATGAATTAAGCGTAATCAGTGTATCAGTAGCAGGTAGTCTGAATACTTCCCTTTTTATCTGCCCTCCAGCGGACGGAGGATCGAGCCTCAACCGCTTCTTATACCGAATAACCCACAGAAGAACCTCGCAAGGGTATTATTACTAAAACTCACCCAGAACCAATACCAGCTCCAAGACAAATATTTTCCTCTTTGAAATATATCTTCTACCCTTAAGCTCTTGAAATACTTGGCTATTTAACCCACAGAAGAAATATATTATTGGGGTTATTCAATCCAGGAAGGTTATTAACCCAGAATAACCCACGCAAGCCAAGCAGTGTAGGTTATTTCCGCTGTGGTTTACGCCCCCCCCCCAGGATGCCACCCTCAACACCTAACTCACAGGTACCTATTTACTGCTAGGTGACAAGGAGTAGCAGGTGTAGAGAGACGTACCTGTATGTCTCTCCTCGTCTGGTAATCGAATCCGGGATCCTTTCGGTTCATGACATCGGCAGAGTGCACAAGGTCTTAAGTGAAGTTATTCTCTACTGATTGAGCCCATTGGACGGCATCCTGTTCTGAACATGTAGGAAGAACACACAGTATTATGTAGACATACACACATAATTATGTAGACACACATAATTATGTAGACACACACACATAATTATGTAGACACAATTATGTAGACACAATTATGTAGACACACACACACATAATTATGTAGACACATAATTATGTAGACACACACACATAATTATGGAGACACATAATTATGTAGACACACATAATTATGTAGACAGACGTAATTATACAAATGCAGACTGAAGTATGCAAAGCTAAATCATAATGGAACAATGGAAAAATAGCTGGAACAATGCTGTACTGTAGTTGGAACAATGCTGTACTGTAGTTGGAACAATACCCTGTTTGGAATAATGCCATGGCTGGAACAATTCACAACTACCCGCAGCACCATGGCTGGAACAATACCATGACTGGAGGAATACCTTAGCTGGAACAATACCATGGCTGGAGCAATTCACAACTCACAATACTTTGGCTGTAGTAGCTCACAACCCACAATACCGTGGCTGCAACAATTCAGAACTCATCCACAATACTATGGATGCAACAACTTAAAACTAACCCACAATACTGTAGCTGAAACAATTCAAAACTAACCCACAATACCATGGCAGCAACAACTCACAACTAACAAATGATACATATCTGCAACAATTCACACTTAACCTACAATACCGTGGATGCAACAATTTCCATGACTAACAACTCACATCTAACCCACAATACCAAGACCGAAACAACTCATAACAAACCCACAATACTGTGTCTGCAACAACTCACAACTAACCTACAATACCGTGTGATAGAACAATTCACAAGTAACTCACAATACCGTAGATGGAACAATTCACAACCCACAGAACCGCGGATAGAACAATTCACAATCCACAATACCCTAGCTGGAACAATTCACATCCCACAATACCCTGGCTGGAACAATTCACGACCCATAATACCCTGGCTGGAGCAATTCACAACCAACAATACCCTACCTGGAACAATTCACAACCCATAATACCCTGGCTGGAACAATTCACAACCCACAATACCCTGGCTAGAACAATTCACAACTAACCCACACTTCGGAGAGGAAACCAGACGTCGCTTCGGCGCATGACGGTCCAAAACATCGTCTAAAGTAGTTACGTATAATCATCTATTAGTAAGTAGGGGAGCCGAGCTGTGTTCGTGGAGTTTCGTCTTTACTAATTCATTTTTTCAACAGTTGTAGCACTTAAAAATTAAAACGTTTTTATTGCTCTTTTAACTGAACAAAAATATACAGCAGTAAGATGGAGGATCGTGGTTATTAAGATGCGGTGTGATGTGGGCAGGTGAGGCAGTGTGATATTTGCAGGTGAGGCAGTGTGATGTGGGAAGGCGTGGATTTGGAGGCTACTGACTCTTGATTTATCAAGTCGAAAAATGAGAGGAAATATTACAGAACTAATAAGTATCAGACAACACGCGGTAAAGTAAAGTGCATACTGAATGTAGATAGATATTTCTAAGCTCTCCCTGTCATCTTAAGTGTTCATGAGAAGAAAAAAAAACTGATCCAGCAATTCTTCTGGTTATATAGCAGGTCACACATTGTCTTGGGGTGAGACGTAATCAGATTCTATCCATGGAGAGGGAAGGTAGTTCCAAATCTTTGGCTCAAGTTGTGTAAACTGGTCTTTAAAAAAAGTCATCTATCAAGGTTCCGAAGAAGTGATGATCTGTGCTTCAGTCAGTGTAAAATGAAAATTCTGTCAGGTAAAAATTTACAACTATATAAATATATAACTAGGCGGATAATTTAATGCATATACAACAAACAAGCTTCCAACATAATGACAGTAACGACGGTCTTCTGCGTTGGAAGGACAATATGACGAAAGAAGCATAACGTTACTATGCAAATTATTCATTATGGAATGTTGTCTTTGATGAGCGGTGCCTCTGACCTCGAAGTCTTTGGAGCGAAGAATTTCTCGATCTCTTCAAGTGTCCTACCTCGCGTCTCCGGCAGGAAGATACCCAGCGCCACGCCGGAGAGGCTGAAGAGGCCGTACAACCAGAAGACAATATACGTACTGATGTTCTCCATCAGGAGGGGGAAAGTCAAGCCAATAACGAAGGCGAAGAGGGAGTAAGCGGTGACAGCAACGCCATTGCCAATGGTTCGTACCGCCAGAGGGATGAGCTCTCCTGAGAGGAGCCAAGGAATGGGACCGTAGCCAAGCTCGTTGAAGAAGACGTAGATGAGCAGCGAGGCAAGAGGCAGCCACCCAATACTCTGGCAGATGACACAGTTAATAAGTATGTTATTAGCACTAACAAGTGATTGCACATCATATTTTACCAAGAATCATATTACTTTAAAATATATTAATCTCTCTCTCTCTCTCTCTTTATGCCCTTATATATCCTACCTTACATACCTCCTTCCCTCCCTTCATCCCATCAACATTCTTGAATCAAGCAAATCATATTTGCGTTCATACTGATGTACTCACTAATATATTTCGACTTTACAAATACACGCTCTACTTCAGTATTCATCATTACTTGTGTTAAACCAAATTGTTACATATCTCAAAATGCCTAAAATCATAAGCTAATTTCTTATATAAAAATTCAAATATTGCAAACCAAACGACTAATAAATTAACCTACTTAAATAACTGTTAATTTTAATGCTGGCAAAAATGCTCTGTATAACATGTCACTCAATCCTATGTCAACTGTTATGGAAATGAGGTTGTCATTGTCACGTCTGTAGAGTCAGCCACTTTCTTTTGTATCCCTTCTACACATTCTTCCTTCATTTTTTTCTTTTTCCCCTTCTACTTCCTTCCTAGGCACTACTCACGTTAGTGAATCCATCTTGCTTGAGATAGAAGAAGACGCCTATGGAAACCATGCCCACACAGGAACCCACCGAAGAGACTATGAGGAGAGGCTTGCGTCCCAACCTGTCCAGCAGCACCGCACTCACCAGTGTTGATATGAACCTGGTAATGTTGTACACACATGATGTGCTACAGAAGTACAGAGGTATATACTGTACATATGTATATTATTATTATATATATTCAGTGAGAATCGACTCCTGCAAACACATAGGTAAATACATAGAGCACACACCTGACGAGGCCTACTATGACAGTAGCTGTGTTGGAGTCAATATTTGTGTTGGCCTCGTTGAAGATGTCCACAGTGTAGGCAGTGACCACAGCAAACCCACTGAACTGACCACACATGAACACCAAGAAGACGATCAACACTGGCTTCCAGTTCTGAGGCTTCCTGCAAAGGGAGGGATGCCGATCAGAATTATGGTGAGAAGTGAGGAATAACTGTTCTTAAATACCCTAGAAGTATGGTAAAATAGCCTTCGATGGGGAAAGGGAAGATTTGGATCGACTGTTAACCCACAATAACTTAAGATATGCATTGTGGCTTATGGGAAATAGTGGACAACGTTCTACTGTTTCCCATACTTCTCCACATTTTAGCATTTTATTTCCCCTTTCAGTATTAATACACACATTTTTCACTGAAAATTCCGAGTGACATTCTCATTGTAGGGTATTTACTGCTAGGTGAATAATGGCTGCAGGTGGAAGTAGACCTGCCCAGTAGTCTCACCTGCCTAGGTATTGAACCTGGTTTCACTCTGTTGAGCCAAGCGTTCTGCCGCTGAACTACAAGTCCCTTATTTTCAATATGACTTGTGAGCGTCTTGCCGTAAGAAAAATTCTCTGAGTGGCCTGAAATCAGCTCTCTGAATGATGGTTAAGATACTGGGATGAGCTGTAAGTAGCTAGCAAGAAAGTCTCTTTCAGCCGTCTTTGAGACCTGTATACAGAGGAAGCAGTTGGTCAATTGGTGCCAGCATGCAAAGGCAGCCAGAGTGAAGGCACCTGAGTGTGAGGGACCAAGAAGGCTGGGGACAAGTCTCAACAACTTCCTGCATAGTCACGCCTCTATTAAGTTACTTGGTACATAATTTACCCCAAGTCGGGTCCACTCAAGTGCCAGAACCGAGTGTGAGGGTGGCCTTGTCTTCCATTGGTGTCTTCCTCCTTCATGACTCCTCATGTCTCACCTTCACATGTTTTCTTCTTCGATTTCTTATCTTGCTTGTTTGTTTATAATAGATAACTAGGCGTCAGTCGACCGTTATGAGTTGCCACCTGGGAGAGGAACTAAGAACCCCAACGGAGATAAGCCACACCGCATGGCTTATCTGTAGCTATTAATCCTCCTGGCTTATTAATTTCAATAAAGCCTTCATATCTGCATAATATGGGGGGAAAATAGTAATAAAGCCCTATGAGCAGTAAAGTGTGTAGCAGTTGTGATCATTAACACCTATTACCACCACTCAGAAAAGCTTTAATTTATGTATGTATATATAAATGTATAAATTAAATAGTTATATATATATATATATATATATATATATATATATATATATATATATATATATATATATATATATATATATATATATATAGAACATACAACCGCCCAGGGAGGTACTACCGTCCTGCCAAGTGAGTGTATAATAAAAGCCTGTAATTGTTTTTACATGATGGTAGGATTGCTGGTGTCCTTTTTTCTGTCGCATAAACATGCAAGATTTCAGGTACGTCTTGCTGCTTCTACTTACACTTAGGTCACACTACACATACATGTACAAGCATATATATATATGTACACACCCCTCTGGGTTTTCTTCTATTTTCTTACTAGTTCTTGTTCTTGTTTATTTCCTGTTCTCTCCATTGGGAAGTGGAACAGAATTCTTCCTCCGTAAGCTATGCGTGTTGTAAGAGGCGACTAAAATGTCGGGAGCAAGGAGCTAGTAACCCCTTCTCCTGTATATATTACTAAATGTAAAAGGAGAAGCTTTCGTTTTTCCTTATGTGCACCTGCCTCGTGAGATACGGCTGGTGTTTGAAAAAGAATTATAAATATATATTATACTATTATTATATAACACTAAATATATTTTAGTTTTTTACATATTAATATAAAAACATAAAATATATTTTCGTGCCAGAATATGTAAAACCTGTCAATTAGCAAGACTCTTTAAATTAAGTCCTTATAAAATTCTCTATACGTGAAAATATATTTTTCATAATGTTGATGTAAAATTTTTAATTTTGCACCAAAAGGAATTAAAAATACTTACCTAACTTATTATATACAAGAACAATTTATTTTAGCTAACCACACTAAATATATTTTAGCATTTGATTACAAAATTTAATACTAACAACACAACACAGGAAAACATAATTTTTTGTTAGTTCAGAATGATTTGGCGGAATGTTGCATACACAAATTTTAACTTGTACTATATGGCAAGATGAGGCGTGCTATTTAAGCCAAATCGCAAGTTCTGCCATATTACCGACACGACCATATACAATATATATATACACATGAGCACACACACACACACACACACACACACACACAATACCATATAGTACCACTCGTCCAGTTTTGAATAACACACACGAATTTAGCGTTTGTTTAAAACCCAATAATAATAATAATGATAATAACCAACCATGCAGCTCACACAAATGTGCAAATCAAACTGTAATTCGGCTTTGGCTCCCACATACGAGTGGAACATTATTATTATATTTTATAAAATAACAATAATAATGTTCCACTCGTATGTGAGAACTACAGCCGAACTGCATTTTGATTTGCACATCCATTTGATCTGCAAGGTTGGTTAATGGAGCTCAAAGCTTATGGACTTCAAGAGGGTTATTAAAACTGCATTTAACTTGTTCACCACTAGTCAATAATAATTTAATCTCCAAAATAAGAATCAAAGTAAACTCTCAGGGCATATATATAGAGAGACGTACTCTGTCTATTCTCCACGAGCTGCCAAGACCATCTTCAATACCAATCGCCTGCGAGTCTTCATCTTAGCAACATGAGACATGCAAGAGTAAGGTGGCTAATGACCGTCTCGCCGGACTGGATATTCGATAGTCCTCGGTTCGAATATACCCAAAGGATAGGATAATGAGATGCCGATTTTACTGGGAATATTATTCAAAAAGGGTTAATGATCCAGGATAACTCAAGGAGAGTGGCTTATTTACATTAGCCGTCTTGGGTTCAAATTCAGTTGAAGGAAGTTGGTGGCTTACCAACTGATGGTTACCAGCTGATGGTTACCAGCTGATGGTTACCACTGATGGTTACCAGCTGATGGTTACCAGCTCTCTACCGTACCTATCGACTTGTTTTTCACTTTCAAAATGCACCACTAATAACTCTCACCTAAAATGTTTATGTTGATTCCAGCTCTCACCTGAAAAGCTTACACTGCTCCCAAATAGATATCTCGGCCCCATCAGTGGCCGTGATGTTCTCGTAGATAATGTCCACTTCCGCCTTCACGTTGTGAGATTTCTTCCTGAAGAACCTGAAGAGGAACATGAGAACATATAAATGGAGGAACACTGCAGCAAGCCTACTGGTCCATACTAGGCAAGTCCTTTTCAAATCCAAACCTTCTAATTGAAATATTTGTCCAACCGATTTTTTAAAGCTATGCAAGGTTTCAGTGGATAGGATGAGAAATGGTGAAATAAGCTGAGACATGGTGGGATCGGTTATGACCTGACTATGAACACGTCTAACGAGTCCCTTCACTCACCACCTTGGAACTTCTTTCATATATCAACGAAATTAATTTGTAAAGGCACACTTTCTACAAGATGTCTTAAGCCTCACATTAAAGCATTATGGTGAGGGATTCAGTCCCCAGTGAAGGAATTGTAGTAGGATCCAGAGTTCCACCTAAGGAAAATCTTTACTTGAGCCCCATTCTTGAGTTCTATGCTTCTTCTCAAAGAGTCTTCTTCTCATGTCCAGTTAACGGTCCCAATAGTTTTATATAAGGGTCATATGGCCGGTCAGAAGTCCTATACAAGGTGAATGACCCCGTAAGCCCATCTAAAGCCCCATTCCCAATGCCTGGGCAGGAATCCCAGGGATTCCTGCCCAGGTGCCCCATTACCCCAGCCCAGGGAGTCCTACTCGAGGGTTCAGTCCCATAAACAAGGCCTATCAAGGGTACCAGGTCTTAATATATCTGAACTAATGTTTTGTAAAAACACATTTTTATCTTTTCATATAAAATTTACTCTTTGAATTGCATTTTAAAGAATATCCCGAAAACTCAGTGCTTTGTACCTGAGTGATTTCTCGGCTTCGTTGAGTTTTGCCTTCTTAGTGAGCCACTGTGGAGACTCTGGCAAGATCACCATGGAGACGAAGAGAGGTAAGCTGGGCACCAGTGCTGAGATCCCTGCCAGCCACCGCCAGTCCACCACTGACCTGCAACACAAGGCCTCACACACTGACACTTCTCAGTACCTCCATCAACATCTTTTCCATTTTCGAAAGCTTATTACTACAAAATGTTTCCTTACATGAAAACGAAGTTTTCTTCATATTGGAAATATAAACACAAATGCAGTATAATGTGATCCTTTATTGACAACGTTTCACCCACACAGTGGGCTTTTTCAAGTCACACACGGATCTGCCAAAACATTTTTCTTCATATTATGACTGAAGTAATGTAGTTTTTTATACACGGCTTCAAGGTTCGGTATAAACCTTGATAATTTATACCAACAAGTGGTTTAAAAAAACACACGGGGGCAAACATCACGTTTCGGTTCTGGAACCGAAAGGTGAGTATATGTACTCATCTATATGTGGTTGCAGGGGTAGAGTCATAGCTCCTGGCTCCGTCTCTTCACGTGTCTATTTAAACTTCACAGTTGCCTAATGCAACTCCAACATGTTCACTTTCTGCCTTATTATCCTCGCTTCAAACACCTAAATAACACACGATAGTCCTTAATCTATATACAAGTAGATTGTTTTTCTCAGCAGATAACCTCGGTGTGAACTTTATTTTGAGTTTTACCCCATGTATTCCAGTGACCTGTAACACAACTAATCAACACTCAGGTTGTTCTAGTGTTTTGACCAACTTACTGGATTTAACTCTTCCTGTGTCATTATTTATTTTAGTATGGAGTTTTTTAATGTTAGTTAAAATTATCTGAAAAACATTAATTCTCCACGAACCCAAAAAAAGAAGTCAAAATGTGGAAGCCATTTAACACTCTCTTGTTCATTTTGTTTTATAATTGTGTAAAAACTAGATAGACGATACTTATTTTCTGAGTTTCCCGAAAATGTCTAGTTCTACTTTAACTAAATGATCATTGAAATATAAAATTTAACTACGAAATAGAAAATAATTGGAAGTTACCAACCCGAGTCACAACAAATACCTTTCGACTGCAGATACATGTGCCAAAATTCAAGCCTCTGTTTGGCTTGACAAGAAGTCGAGTACTAGATCCTCTGGGCCACCTGTCTTTGCTTGGTACCACGCCAGAGGTTCCGTGTGTGTACTCACCTAATTGTGGTTGCAGGGGTCGAGACTCAGCTCCTGGCCCTGCCTCTTCACTGACCGCTACTGGGTCCTTCCTCTCCCTGCTCCATGAGCTTTATCATACCTCGTCTTAAAACTATGTATGGTTCCTGCCTCCACTACATCGCTTGCCAGACTATTCAACTTCCTAACAACTCTGTGGCTGAAGAAATACTTCCTAACATCACTTTGACTCATCTGAGTCTTCAGCTTCCAATTGTGACCCTTTGTTTCTGTGTCCCATCTCTGGAACATCCTGTATCTGTCCACCTTGTCTATTCCACGCAGTATTTTGTACGTCGTTATCATGTCTCCCCTGACCCTCCTGTCCTCCAGTGTCGTCAGACTGATTTCCCTTAACCTTTCTTCGTAGGGTATTAGGACTCACCCAAAGGCATAACAAAGTAGTGAGCCCAGAGCCACAGCCGCCTCAGGGAAGGCTCCCATCATACCCCGGATGCTAGGCTCCGCTATCTCCGTGGCATACACCTGTAATATACAAAGACTCAGTGGCATCTGTAAATATTTATAAAACATTACTTAGTGGTAAACATCTTAAAACATCAAAATCACCTTTAAATCACCAAAGCTCGTATTCTGAAGCATTATTTAAAAAATAAATTGAAGTTTTTTACGTGTGATAGAATTGACTATCGTAGTCTCACCTGTGGCACAGGTGGCCTCCTTGGCCTCACCTGTGGCACTGGTGGCCTCCTTGGCCTCACCTGTGGTACAGGTGGCCTCCTTGGCCTCACCTGTGGCACTGGTGGCCTCCTTGGCCTCACCTGTGGCACTGGAGAGAAGATGCCGAGGAAGACGCCGGTGATCAAGCGGCCGACGTATATGAGAGCAACTGAGTTGGCGAAGGCGATGAAAGACCAGGAGAGGAGGCACGGCACCGCTGTTACCATCAGCGTCATGCGGGGACCCAAGGCGTCCATAACTATGCCGCCCAGTAACGAACCCACGATGGACGAGATGGACGGAAGTGAGGCTGTGCCAACATAAAAGATACTTATTAGTGTATAAAAAAAAAGCACCTCTCAAAAGCAGAGTGACGAACACTCTAGTCTCCATACCAAGATTGCTTCTTCATAAAAAATGGTCTTTCGTTATTAAGTTTATTTAGGCGCCTAACCTAACCTAAATTACCTAGGATAACCCAAAATAAATCAGACTAAGCGATTCAAGAAATCGTAATGACACGACTTTTACGACTAATATACCGCGAGTTCAATCCCCGCCCGTACCGTGGTCAAAGTGACTTATTGTCACTGGGGGTCATTGTTAGAATAAGTAGGAATAAGTAAATAAATATATATATAATATATATATATTATATATATATATATATATATATATATATATAATATATATATATATATATATATATATATATATATATATATCCCTAAAACAGTAACGAACCTGTAACCACATCAGTTGAAAAGGCCATTTAATGTAGCTTTAATGTATTTTAACGAAATAGACATATTTATCTGTTTATCTAGAAGGAATAGCTAGTGTCTTACCTCTCATTCTGGCTACATGGCTGAAATGGAGTTTAATATCTACTGCCAATAAAAGTAGAGATAGGAGAGGAACTCACCTATCCATCCTGAGTCTCTGGTGTCCACGAAGTCGATAGAGGTGTCATTCCTGAGCTGCGGGAGTGTCAGGGACGAATACGCTGTGATAAAACCAATGCTGACTGATGATAACGACGCGAACACTGCCGCTGCTATCTGAGGTTAAGGAAGATGAGGGTTAACGGAGCAGTGACCGAAGTCAGTGTAGCAGTGATGGAGGTCAGTGAAGGAATATGAGGGGGGTCAGTAAACCAATGATGGGGTCAGTTTGTGAATACTGAGAGTCAGTGAAGAAGTGATAGTGTTGAATGAAGGAATGAGAGGAGTCAGTGTAATAATGACCGAGGTCAGTGTGGCAGTGAGGGAGGGCAGTGTGGCAGTGAGGGAGGACAGTGTGGCAGTGACTGAGGCCAGTGTGGCAGTGACTGAGGTCAGTGTGGCAGTGACTGAGGTCAGTGTGGCAGTGACTGAGGTCAGTGGGATATTACAAATGTATACAGTGAAAGTCATACTGTAACCAGTACTTGGCACCAAACGAGATTTCATTTATGAAAATCGTGCTGACTGAGGAACTAGTAAAGTCTCGTGAACCTGAATAAAAGATTTCATACAACCCATTTTCTAATGTATTCACCTATATGTGGCTGCAGGGGTCGAATCACAGCTCCTGACCCCTTATCTTCGCTTGTCGCTACTAGGTTCACTCTCTCCTACGGCTCCAAAAACCTTATCATGTGTTATATATATACATAATGTGTGTGTGAGTGTGTGTGTGTGTGTTAGCTCCATATCCCTGTATCAAGAGCCCTTTACCAGTTTGCACCTAAAGTGTTGACTATGCACTTGACACCAAACTTCTCCCAAAGTTCCCTTACTGTCAGTACTCTCCTTGTTACTTGGTCTGGTTCCGCTCATTATTTGTTTATTTGTGTGAGTGAATAAACCCATGTGGGGTCATTCAGTGCAGATACTGGTGGAGGCTCGATCCTCTTGTCCGCTAATCGCTGGTTTAGCTCAACATTTTGCAAACAACAGCTTAACTAAGGTGTTTATTGTTCGTGCGAACTTGAGGTTTTGAAGAGTATTGTTCACAATTACTTTTAGTTAATGGGACAACACGCTCATGTGTGTGTGTGTACTCACCTAACTCACCTAATTGTGGTTACAGGGGTAGACTCACAGCTCCCGGCCCCGCCTCTTCACTGGTCGCTACTATGCCACTCTTCCTGCTCCATGAGCTTTATCATACCTCTCCTTAAAGTTATGTATGGATCCTGCCTCCACTACATCACTTCCCAGACTATTCCACTTCCTTACAACTCTGTGGCTGAAGAAATACTTCCTAACATCTATGTGATTCATCTGAGTCTTCAGCTGTGTGTGTGTGTGTGTGTGTGTGTGTGTGTGTGTGTGTGTGTGTGTGTGTGTGTGTGTGTGTGTGTAGGCAACACTGCCCCTCCCTGAGAGAGCATCACGTGGCTGAGTAGTGTACACCAATGGTTATTTGTATAGAAGACAGCAAGTGGGGAATGTTTATAGAAGATAGATTGTGAGCAATGTTTATAATCACGCTCAGGGTCATCCTTTTCCTCTCCCTCCCCATTCCAATCCCTCCCGTCGTACTTCTCTCCCTCCCTCCCTCCAACCTGCCATGTTCACTCTGTTAGGTCGTTCCACTTGTGGTTATCTGGCGTCAAGGTGCTGCCTCACAAACCTGTCTTTTAGAGATCTTTACCACCACCACCTCAACTACAACCACAATCACCACTGTTACAACCATCACTACTGCTGTTATCTTTACTACCAGCACCACCACCAATGAAACACCCAATCCTTCCATTATAACCACCATCACCATACCTACTATTACCCTGCCTACCATCACCATACCTACCATCACCATACCTACCACCATAACTAACGTTTAACATTGTTTCCCCTGACATTCTCTTGAGGCAGATTTGATAATAATAATAATAATTAACTGATATGAGACTGACACTCACTTGTTAAGCATAAGATTTTGTCCAGAGAAATTATGTACGTTAGTACGTTACGTACGTTAGTACGTTATTCACTAACGTACATAATTATGTACGTTAGTACATAATTTCTTTTTTTTTACAAGGATCATGAAAGTTCTCAACTGATAGTGATAAGTGAAAATTACATTATCTAGATATAACTATGCATTTCACTATTTAAATTTAACTACGCATTTTACTGGGTATTTTTTTTTAATTAAATAAAGCTTGGAAATATAATTAATTAAATAAAGCTTCGAAATATAAATGTGTAAAATATTATTAAAACTTATTAAATGTTTATGCACTTTTTTTGCCCAGAATTTGTGGATTTGTTTTAAAAAACAATTATTTTTTTGGGGGACAAACAAGTTAACATTTACCTAAATCAGTCTGAAAATCAAGAAATTATTGTATTTTAATTATGTCAAAAAATATTAATTAAGGTTGGACTCCTCTTAGATTTTTTTAGGTAGGAAGCCTGGTCTCAGACCGGGGGGGCGTTGGCCCCCCGAAACCCTCTCCAGATATACTCCAGGTAAGCTATTTCATAATATGTATTTTATAATATCTGATTCGTATTATTCACTAAACCCTTAATTAGAATCTTATAAATGTACCTAAATAATATATAAAATGCAAATAGATTATTAGGGTTGGTTACTGAGAGGACACATGTTACTGTATCTGACTTACTGAGAGGACACATGTTACTGTATCTGACTTACTGAGAGGATACTTGTTGCTGTATCTGACTTACTGAGAGGACACATGTTACTGTATCTGACTTACTGAGAGGACACATGTTACTGTATCTGACTTACTGAGAGGACACATGTTACTGTATCTGACTTACTGAGAGGACACATGTTACTGTATCTGACTTACTGAGAGGACACATGTTACTGTATCTGACTTACTGAGAGGACACATGTTGCTGTATCTGACTTACTGAGAGGACACAACTGTTACTGTATCTGACTTACTGAGAGGACACATGTTACTGTATCTGACTTACTGAGAGGACACATGTTACTGTATCTGACTTACTGAGAGGACACATGTTACTGTATCTGACTTACTGAGAGGACACATGTTACTGTATCTGACTTACTGAGAGGACACATGTTACTGTATCTGACTTACTGAGAGGACACATGTTACTGTATCTGACTTACTGAGAGGACACATGTTACTGTATCTGACTTACTGAGAGGATACTTGTTGCTGTATCTGACTTACTGAGAGGATACTTGTTGCTGTATCTGACTTACTGAGAGGATACTTGTTGCTGTATCTGACTTACTGAGAGGATACTTGTTGCTGTATCTGACTTACTGAGAGGATACTTGTTGCTGTATCTGACTTACTGAGAGGATACTTGTTGCTGTATCTGACTTACTGAGAGGACACATGTTACTGTATCTGACTTACTGAGAGGATACTTGTTACTGTATCTGACTTACTGAGAGGACACATGTTACTGTATCTGACTTACTGAGAGGACACATGTTACTGTATCTGACTTACAGAGAGGACACATGTTACTGTATCTGACTTACTGAGAGGACACATGTTACTGTATCTGACTTACTGAGAGGATATTTGTTGCTGTATCTGATTTACTGAGAGGACACTTGTTGCTGTATCTGATTTACTGAGAGGACACTTGTTGCTGTATCTGATTTACTGAGAGGACACTTGTTGCTGTATGTGATTTACTGAGAGGACACTTGTTGCTGTATCTGATTTACTGAGAGGACACTTGTTGCTGTATCTGATTTACTGAGAGGATACTTGTTGCTGTATCTGATTTACTGAGAGGATATTTGTTGCTGTATCTGATTTACTGAGAGGACACTTGTTGCTGTATCTGATTTACTGAGAGGATACTAGTTGCTGTATCTGATTTACTGAGAGGACACTTGTTGCTGTATCTGATTTACTGAGAGGACACTTGTTGCTGTATCTGATTTACTGAGAGGACACTTGTTGCTGTATCTGATTTACTGAGAGGATACTAGTTGCTGTATCTGATTTACTGAGAACATACTTGTTGCTGTATCTGATTTACTGAGAGGACACTTGTTGCTGTATCTGATTTACTGAGAGGATACTAGTTGCTGTATCTGATTTACTGAGAGGACACTTGTTGCTGTATCTGATTTACTGAGAGGACACTTGTTGCTGTATCTGATTTACTGAGAGGATACTTGTTGCTGTATCTGATTTACTGAGAGGATACTTGTTGCTGTATCTGACTTACTGAGAGGACACTTGTTGCTGTATCTGATTTACTGAGAGGATACTTGTTGCTGTATCTGATTTACTGAGAGGATACTTGTTGCTGTATCTGACTTACTGAGAGGACACTTGTTGCTGTATCTGACTTACTGAGAGGACACTTGTTGCTGTATCTGATTTACTGAGAGGATACTTGTTGCTGTATCTGACTTACTGAGAGGACACTTGTTGCTGTATCTGACTTACTGAGAGGATACTAGAGAGAGCTGGTAATTAAGATATCAATTAATGGGGTGTTTTGTGTGGTAACTTGACGTTCTTACATTACTATCATCACCATTACCATCACCATTACCATCACCACCACCATCACCCTCACCACTCTGAACACCTCCACAATTACAAATAGCTGTAGTGAATTTGATATTACAATGCACCACATACTCGTGGATCAGACATTTGTCTCATTCATATACTTACTGGTTTTCAAAACCATTTATATAATGATACCCCATACTCGTCATGTGGGCGGAAGATAAAAGATTACAGAAACCCATATTGGGTCATCGAATAGGGAACACCACATTAACACTACTACAGACAATAAAATATTCTAGTCTCCCCGCGTGTATCTCAAGTCAAGCTTGAACAAAACATTTGAAGTTACAGTATCTGCTGATCCTGGAGTGGAATGCTCGCCCGTCGGAGGATGGGTATGGGGTACATAATAAACATATTAAAACTAAAACTAAACTACTGAAGTCTCCCAGATTAGTCTGATACATTTGGTTATCTGATAGATTCAACTCGTCCTGTGGTGACATGTCAGCTAAATATTTCTAGCGTTTGTAACCGCAAAGTAACTATTACAAAGAAGTGTAAGAGCAC